AGTTGGACAGATTCCTTACTTCCCTGGAATGGGACCACTCCTTTCCTAGGACTCATTCATCCACCCTTCCAAAACCCATTTCCAACCATCACCACATCCTTCTCGATACCCAAGCTGTCGCGAGGGTCCTAAACCTTTCGGTTCGAGCTCTCTTGACTTGAGGAGCCAGACTTTTGCAATCTGGTGTGCTATTGGTGGACTCATACACCCCCCTAGTCCACAGGTGGGCAGGTTTCAGACTTCAATGGAAACTCCAACTTTTGAAATTCTCTCTCAAAACTTGGAGCCATAGTCGTTCGTATAACTTTCGGTCCCAGAAGGCCGACATGCTTCAGTCCATTCAAATTGGAACTCCATCGAAGAGGCCAGATCTTTAACCCCTACTGAACTCGAGCTTAGGTCTATAGCAAAGCTCGACGACCTTTCTCTTCTACACAAAGAAGAGATCTCTTAAGCTCAAAGAGCCAAGATCAAGTGGCTCAAACTAGGTGATCTAAACACCGAATACCCCATCACCCCATCACCCCATTCAAAACCTTTTGGGACACCATTCGATCAGACATACTAGCCTTCTTCTCTAAATTCCACTTGAGGGGGTAATTAACAAATTAATGAATGCCACATTCATCACTCTCATCCCCAAGATAGGAGTCGAGGAACTGAAAGACTTCAGGCGGATAAGCCTAATCAACAGCTCCTACAAGTTGTTGTCGAAGGTCTTGGCCTCCAGACTTAAGGCCGTGCTAAGCCAAGTCATATCCCCCACATAGGGTGCCTTCGTCAAGGATCATTAAATTCTTAATGGAGCTCTAATCGCCCACGAATGCATCCATTCTGGATACATCTCCACAATCCCTGACCTAGTTTGAACATGTACATTGGTCAATCCTAGAAGAAACTCTTGGCCAGATGGAATTTGAATCCCTGTGGAGGAAATGGATCCGCAAATGCATCTCATCTGCAATCTTCTCCTGTGCTCATTAAAGGGTCCCCCAAGCTACTTCCCAGCTACTAGAGGGCTCCGCCAAGGAGACCCTCTATCGCCCTTCCTGTTTGCCATCGTGGCCAAAGTTTTCAGCTCTTCTATTTCGAGGTTGTGCCAAGCAGGCCTCCTCAAGGGGTTCCAATCTAGCAGTCGCGGTCCCACCATTTCTCACCTGTAATACGTGGATGATACCCTTCTTTTCTGCAACCCCTCCCCCCAACAAGTGGATACATTGCTTATATCCTCAAATGCTTTAAGATGGCTACAAGCTTCAAGACCAGTCTAGCAAAATCCAAGATGATGGGGATATGCAATGACCTCCAACAAGTCCAACTTTTAGCTGATAGGTGGGGTCATTCTATAGACGAACTTCCTTCCTCCTATCTGGGCTCCCGTTGTGTATTGGAATGCCCCGCCTCTCCTTTTGGAGCCACATAATTGATAAATTCGACCGGAAGTTAGTGGGTTGGAAAGGTACATGTCTTTCCTTGCTATAAGGCTAACCCTCATCGAGGCTACCTTAGCCACTACCCCAATGTACCAAATGCCCCTCTTCCACATCCTTGCCTCAGTCGTGGCTAGGCTTGAGAAGATGACGCGCGACTTCTTCTAGGCAGGTGAACGAGGTTATAAATACCGCCTTATATTGTGGCCAGTTCTGTGCACACCCAAATCCCAAGGTGGCTTTGACACCGAAAAACTCAGGTCCCATAACACAGCCCTCCTCAGCAAATGGTGGCGAATCTCGCCAACCCAACCACTTGTGGAGGGAACTAATTCACCACAAATACGGCCATGGGGTGGACTCCTGGGCTTTGGTGTGTATAACTACCGGCAACATTTCTAGCTTTTGGAGGCCTCTTCTCGACTGTTGGGACCTCTTTCTTCAACACACTCGATTTCGACTGAGAGAGGGGAATAGGGTTCGTTGGACTGATGTGTGGCTTGGTCACACACCTCTTAGAAAGCAGTTCCCCAACCTCTTTCGCCTGGCTCATGATGCTAACTCAGCAGTGGCTGACAATTTCAGCTCCACGAACTCAGCTAGGACCTGGCCCCCCAACTTTAGGAGAACCTACCAAGCACAAGATGAGTGAGTTCCTGGCCTTGACCAACATTCACCACCATGTGTATCTCCCCCCGGCAGGAGAAGACAAGCCTCATGACAAATCTCAGTCTCCTCTTTCTTTCAGGTCATTCCTCATCAACCTGCCCGACCACATTCCCCTCTATCTTTGGCATCCAAGGCATGGACCTGTCCTGTCTCCCCAAAGTTACAAGTTTCTTGTTGGATTGCTGTCCATGAAAGAGTGCTCGCCATTGATTAAATTCAAAAAGTGGGGTCCCACTTCCCAATCGATGTGCCATGTGTCAAAGGCCAAAGAAACAAATGAGCATCTCTTTATTCACTATGAGATTGCCAAAGCTCTCTGGAGTGACCTTCTTTTCTTATTCAACTAGTCTTGGGTCAACCCTCAATCCGTCCCCCAACACTTCCAAGTTTCCCTCCTCCTCCCCTGGCCTAAAGCAGGAAAAATGTTTTGGAGGGCCTCTATGGCTGCCTTTCTTTGGGATATTTGGCGTGAGAGAAATAACAGAATTTTCAGGGATGACGGAACCTCGGTGTACTCTTTAGTTGAGAAAATAGGATCCTTAGTATCCTTCTGGCCCAAAAATCATAATGTCATAAATTGTTCAAAGACTTCTCTTACTCTGACTTTTATAGTAATTGGCACTCTTTGCTAAACATGAGACCTCCAAGGATTTCTCAGGCTGCACTTTGGAGGCCACCAGACATAGGAACCTCCAAACTCAATTTTGAAGTTGCTCACTTGGCAACTAGGGACCCTCTGGAATACAAGGCATTTTCAGATCCCATGATGCCTCGATCCTGCTTTCCTACTCCCTCCCTATCGGTTTCGTAGATTCTACCCATGCCGAGGCCGTAGCCCTCTTGGAGGGCCTTTGAAAGTTCAACCCCAATTTGAGCCCTAAACTGATGGTCAAAGGGGGCTCTTGGACCATCATCGCTTGGGCCTCTGGCTCCACCGACTGCCCATGCAGATTTATTTGATGAAAATTCACACTTTTGCAGGGGCCTTTGAGTCTCATGGTAGCACATTTTTTGGGAAGCTAACGCAGCCCACAATCTTTTGGCTGAGGGAGCCTTATCCAACTCCATTTTGGCACCTTTGCCAACTTCTTGAATGCATAATCATCCTGGATTGTAATTAATATGGTCCTTTGTGTTTCTTCTATACATTGTATAGCATTTTTGGGCCCTATGGGTTTTATTATAGGGCACCCATCTGCGTGGTTGCCTCATATTTTGTACACTCCATTTTACTCAATACAAAGTGAACGACTTCGGAAAAAGAAAAAAGATTATTCATTTTCTGCCTAGGCATACATTTTGAGAACCTATTTATACACATTGTTTTCTAACAGTAATCCTGTCCTTGTTTGAGTAGTCTCATCCAATTGAACATTAAATGGATGATATTTTTATTCCTTTTCCTGTAGGTGCTTATGCTATGGTTTGAGGTGCACTTATTAGGTGGTGACCACAAAAATTAAAATCAACCAATAAAAAAAAAAAAAAGAACAGTGAATATTCCATCACTAAGAGTATAAAATAAGCATCGCTTGGACAAAATGTAGGCACAAAAAAAAAAAGTCAAATAACAAATACAAAAGCAAATGCTAGTATCTTTTAGTTATTTTCTTTGTTAGATAATTTGCCAAATTGTTTATTGAGGCTGTGACATAATGATTTTTTAAATTTTAATATATTACATAAAGAATTTTAAATATATTATTTAAATCTTAGATTTTTTCGTTACCTCCAAATTCCAAACCTTATGTAGTATTTGAAGAAAATTTAATATATAAATAGAACTGTCGGCATAAATACTTATATGAACTTCTTGGGAACCTTGCAGTTTGGTTACCCATGTTTGGCACTTTCAAATATGTTTTCAGAAAACAACACGTGTTCCCATGTCTACATAGGTTTAGCGAAGGTGGTGGCGGTGGATGTTAGACTACGAATACTATGCATCTTTCCTCATCATGGGCCCATGATCAACTGGGCACTCAGGGTTACCCAGCATTCAAGAGGTCTGAAAAACAGCGACTACTTTCACCATCCTCTCAGAGGTAATTCAAACACCTCATTGACATGAAAACCAACCACAACACATTACTGAAGCCTAATCTTTTTCACTGAACCCCAAAGAGACCTCTTTCGATCTTAGCAAACAAGAGAAGCAGGAGAGTTACATAAAGAAACTCCCCTTTTGCAAGTAAGTTAGGAACTTCAACATGACTGAACCATATGGCATGATTCTGGGGCTTCAAGGGATGGGTGAGTTGGGGGAGATAAGAATTGCAACAGAAACAAGCAATTCAAACTAACGTTTCTTTTTGATAGGCCGCAAATAAAATGAGTATTCCAAATATATCACTGATGATGGTATCGCATGAGGAGGTTTCCCCGTTTTCTAAGGCCACAATGTTTCTGAAGAAGCAATCAGGAGTTCCATTCATCAAGAAAAGTGAATGATATAGTTTTGTCATTCTCCTCCAAAGGTTTCTTTTAGTCATTCAGACAATGCCTGTGAAAAGCCATAGTTGACTCCTACTGTTGTAACAGGTTCAGACAAAAAATAGGTAAAAATTAATAGCCTGTGGTACTTGCTACCTTCATAAGGTATCAACAAAGCTATTAAACTAAACTACAAATAACACTATTTATCATTCGCACTTCAGCCCTTCCAAAGACCGTAACGAGAAAGATAGTTCTTTCAAGACACATCCAAGCTGGTTCCAAACGTAAAATGAAATTAAATATAAAGAACGTTGCAAATCAAAAGTGGAGACAGAAAATATAAAGAATATCACCCTTTCATCAACAGAAGCTAAAGTCTAGGTAATTCCATATATGCAACATAAAAATACCATCAATGATTATCTATCACAAAAGAAAATACTATACATGGTAAGTAGAACCTACATCCATAAATTGTTGTGAATGTGGAGCTCCTCCTGCAGGTTGGATAGATGCAGGCGCTGATAAAGGCCTCCCTGCATGAAATGGAAGAAAACCAATACATAAGCAAGATCAAAGGAACATACAACACAGTAGCAAGAGCTGCCATGATGACAAAGAAAAGGTAAACTTGTAAACTTCATTATGAAGGAGAACTGATGCAGTGCCAGTTATCACAAAGACTAACTCAACACTCGTACTCGAAAGAACAATTAAAGCACAGGAAAACTTAAACTATAAAATTTCAAATGCACATGGGTATAATAAGATATTGATCAACATGAATGCAGAGGCTTTGAAATTATGAATCAAAATGTCCTAATGGTATCTATCCAAACGTTTACTATAAACCAATGGAGATTATAAACGAGATCAATAAGCAGGATATTTGAGATATCAATTTCACAAATCCCTGTGAATTCTGTTAGAGTAGTTTATGACAAAGCCATTAGCTTGAATACACGATAAAGATAATTTGGGGCAAAACATTAAATAAGTGAATCACCTCTCAAGGGGCAAATAGATACTGGAAAATTCAAATGAAATCTCTAACATTTCACTTTGAATGTATCAGAACCTTGAAGACAAGTGTGAGACCCTCAAATCAAGAACCCTGACACATCATGGGACCCTCAACTCTACAAAGCTGGCACAGAATATAAAATACATTCCCCTACTGCTAACAAATACCAACACTTGCCTATTTCATTACTGGTCGCCATACTTTGGAAAAATAACTAGAAAGCCGCATCGAGGACATCTATTCTTCTTATATCAAAGGCAGTTAAAACTGATAGTCAATGAAGAAAAGTACCACCTAGCACCTACTATCTGGTTTTCCATGGACACTGACAGCAGAAAATTGTTGATAAGTTGGCATGCTCACAAAATATAATAACTACAGAAAATAAAAAAGATACACATAAAAACATAGTAATATTTAAAGGAATACAATTCTATTGTACAACATTATAATAAATGACAATATTACGATATAAAAAAAAATTTACTTTCCTTGTTCTCGAAAGTTTTTTCGAAAAAGTACTATTTCATTCATATTTGAATCTACCTACAACAAGATACCGTTATACATAACCAATTTCAAATATTTATTTAAAATTACTGCAGTACTAAAATTACTTATATTTATATGGAGAATATTAAATGGTGCGTCACAGACATCAAATTAATAGATCCTAATGATTCAATGCTGCGAGGAATATGAAGCCTTGGGGTAACATTGTTGAACTACTTCAGTTAATATGTTCGTCTCATGGAGACATATTTGGCAGGAATCGAATCAGGAAGCCGACACCCTCGCTAAGGAAACAGCATCTCCAGTTAATGTGCAATTTTTTTGGTTGGATCATTTTTTATGGCTTCTTAATGCTCTGATCTTGTAACTTGTTGTAAAATAGGCCTTTATTTTTTGTTCTCTTTTTTGCACCCTTTTTGGTGCCCTCTGTAAATAGGGCGTCTGCCTGTGGATAGCCTATATTTTTCGGCATGTACACCTTCCGTAATACAATGTTAACATATTCAAAAACAAAATTGTTCAACTACTTGAACAATAATTCTGAAACTCAACAAATAAACATCATAGCATCCTGTTATAAATACAATGTTAGTTTTCCACACAAGGCATAGAGTTCGGAAGAATATTTTCGACATTTTCTGCAGTTCACATTCTCGTCTTCCCAACTGGAAGCAATCACTGTTCTAAAAATCATATACGTGACCATGGATAGAGAGAGAGAGAGAGAGAGAGAGAGATTGAAATTCAATCATTGCCTGATTCAGAATGAAATTGTTTACTAATCTGCTGGTCAAGCACACGAGGATTTTCTCTAATACCCTCCAAGTTGCAGATGGTATTTCTCATCGTCTTCATCTCCTCAACTTGAACTTCCAACAACTTGGTGAAGGCCTCAAAGTACTTCCCCTCTGGGTATATTCAGAACCAGTAAGTGTTAGCAAGACATTTAAATATCACTTGTACCTGATTAACATCAGAGGAATTTTAAGATGAATAGTATATTTCCAATTCTTCACCAACACCACAGAACTGACCTTCATTCTTCGCATGCAACATTTCTTGACTTGCTCTAGCCACTTCAGCAGCAGCAGCTGCTGCTGCCTTTGCCGCAGCTGCAGCCTCATCGATCGGTCTTGGTTTTAACTGGTCCTTCTTCTCAAGCTCATCTTCTTCTGAGACAACCTTACGAATCCACGACTTCAACCTAGGAACCACAGCATTCTGTACAAAGAAAATACATCAACTCCATATCCAATTTTGGAACCATTTAGAAGTAAAGCAATGGGGGATATATGGGTAGCATATCATTAAATCTTACAACCATCCAGAAGTCAAATAAACAAGACAAATAAGGGGGGTAGCATGAAATTTAATATTTCAGAACCAAATCCTCAAATTTGGAACAAATTATATATACATTGGTAATGTAAGATTAAATTTTGGAACAGACCAGAAGTAAACACAAAGGGGTAACATTTTTTGGAAAAATGTGATTAAATTTAAAAGTAGCATAAATGGGACACAAGAGTAAGATATGATTACCATATTTCTACAACAGTTTGCTTGTGAACGTCGGGATAGCTCATAGTGCCATACATCATGAGATAACATAGCAAACATCAACCAATACCATGTGAAAAGAGAGAGCATAAAAAGCAAGGTTTCAAAAAACGGTCCCGCCTGAACAAATAAACCGCAAGCCTCGACCCAAGCGACCGAACACAGGCGGTTGTACCTAGGTAGGCTGGGGGGGGCGCCTTGAGCCGTAAGGTGTTTTGGATTTTTAAATTCGTCCAAAACGGCAAAGGAGATCATTTTGACCCCCAAGTTTGTATAAAAATGTTATGGGGTTTATTTTTTAACCCCCAAAGTGAAAAAAAAACCCTCAATCTCAACTTATTTTTGAGAATCTAAAGTAATTTCTGAGAATCGAAAGTACTTTTTGTGGATTGAAAACGTTTTCTTTTCTCATTGAAATTATTTTTAGGGTGCGATTGGTGGCATTAGAAGACTTTTGAGTTGATTTGTAACTCGATTGAGTTATTTGAGTTTTATTTTTCCAACTTGATAAGTCTTCTAGGGTCTAGTAGGGGTGGAGATCTGGGATGAAAATATTGTGTTAACCCTAATAAGAATAACATGAATAAAATTATATGCAATTCCTGTGGACATGTTTCTAATACCGGCATAAATAGATTTAAGAAACATCTTGCCAGTATTAGAGGTGATGTTGCCCCATGTAAGAAAGTCCCAAATCTTGTAAAGAAAGAAATTTTGGAATACATTGAAGGTAAAAAGAATAAAAAAATTGCAAAAACAAAATATATAACAGAATTAAAGTCAGGGGACCATGTTTTTTATGATAATATTGACACTGAAGAAGATGATGAAGAGGGGAAGAAGAGGTAGCCATGCTTGATACTCAAAGCTCTAAGAACAAGAGGGCTTTTGGGTCTAAGAAGCCTCGTATGAGGTGGATGTACCACGCGAGCATTTCCTTTAACATTGCTCGCTTGAATAGCTTCTATACAATATTGGAAGCAATTGGGAAATTTGGGTCAGGTTTGAAAGCTCAAACTCCTAATGAGATTGGAGAGCCGCTATTGAAGGAAGAAGTCGAGTATACTAACGAATATCTCAATACCCATAAGGAGGAATGGGCTAAATTTTTTGTTTCTTTAATGACAAATACATGGAGTGATAGGACGAGGAGTAACATGAATTTGTTAGTAAATTGTCCAATGGCACAGTTTTTTTGCGTTCAATTGATGCTTTCAATGATATTCATGATGCACATTACATATTTTCTTTCATTGATAAGGGCATTGAGGAGGTTGGGGAGGAACTTGTAATTCAAGTGGTCATCAGTGATTCAAAAAGCGGACCGCTCAGCACCTAGGCCGCCTAGGCAGTCCGAAACGCCTGGGCGCATTGCCCAGGCCTAGGCGGCCAATCTGGGCAGTCAATCCCTAGGCGGCCGCCTAGGCGGTACGGAACCCGCCTAGCGACCAACCCAGGGCCTGTGCCCCGCCTAGGGGCAAAAAAAAAATTCACGAGGGCATTTTACATTATTGTTTTTGGTTTTTAAAGCCCAAAAATTCGTGTTTTAGGTTCATTTGAAACCTAAACCTTGTTTGAGCCAAATTTAGGGAGGGAAAACCACCAAAAAACTAGATTGTGGTGAATTTTTTAATATTGCAGGTTACTCAAAGTTAACCAAAATTGATCAAAACATCACCCATTGGTATTATATTTACTTTTTAATGTTTTGCAAAGTTATTAGGGGGTGTTTTAGAAGATTTTGAGTATTTAAAAACATCCTTGAGATGGAAGTTTGAAGATTGAGCAATCAAACTTAAAGTTGATTTTTTTTATTGCTTTAGTAATTAGCATTATTTTTTAGATGTCTTCTTCGGGATCTAATAAAAGTGGTGATCCCGATTGGAAATATGGCTATCACCCAGATCCTAATGATAAAAATTGCATAAGATGCAATTTTTGTGAAAATGATAGAAAGGGGAGCATAAACCGGTTCAAGAAACATATTGTCGACAGCAGGGGGGATGTTGCCCCATGTAAAAAGACTCCTGATGTTGTTAAAGAGGAAATCAAGAATTTTATGAACTTGGTGAAAATGAAAAAAGATGAGAGATTTACCTCTATAGCAGAGATTAGGTCTGGGGTTCGAGTCAATTTTGATGATGATGATGATAGTGATGAGGAAATGATTGGGGAGGGATGTCAAGAGGTTGAGCAATCCATTATTAGAAGAAAGGGGAAGGGAGATGTAATTGCTTCTGGTTCTGGGACAAAGAAACCTCGGGTTAGAGGCCCTATGGATAGTTTCTTACCTTGGCCTGACCCTGAGATTGCAGGAGAGAAAACAAAAAACCAAACCACCATTGAAAATAGAATCAAGAAGGAAGAGAGAGATAAAGCTACGTATTATTTGGCTACATGGTTTTATGAGGCGGGCATTCCTTTCAATACCGCTCGCTTAAGCAGCTTTTATGCTACAGTAGAGGCAATTGGCCAATTTGGCCCTGGGATGAAACCCCTTACCCCATATGAGCTTTCAGAGCCTTTTTTAAAAAAGGCAGTGAGTGCCACGAAGGAAGCTATAGAACGTAAGAAAGATGCATGGGCTCAGTATGGGGTTTCTCTTATGACTGATGCTTGGAGTGATAAGAAGAGAAGAAGTCAAATGAATTTGCTTGTGAATTTTTCAGTAGGGACTGTTTTTTTTAGATCTATTGATGCCTCTGATCATATCCTTGATGCCCATTACATATTTCAAGTGATAGAGAAGAGAATCAAGGAGGTTGGGGAGCATCTTGTTGTACAGGTTGTCACAAACAATGCTGCTCCTAATATTGTTGCATATAATTTGTTGCACATAGCTTATCCTAGAATCTTTTGGACACCATGTGCAGCACATTGTATAGACCTCATGCTTGAGGCTCTTGGCGGTTTAACCGAGATATCAGGTGCAATGAAGAAGGCCAAGTATGTTACGAGTTTCATTTATAGCCACCATATCACCCTCAACATGACATGTACCTTTACAAAGAAAAAATAGATTGTGAGGCCTGGAGTCACGAGATTTGTGACCTGGTACTTATGCCAAGATAGCATACATTCGAGGAGAGTGCAGTTAAGGCAAATACTTACCTCGGATGAGTGGAGAGCATGCAAGTGGTCCAAGGCTCAGGTTGGGAAGAAGGTGAGAGATATACTTTTTAAGGCTTTTTAGCGAGGGATGAAGGACGCTCTTAAGGTATTTTTTCCTCTTATCAAAATCCTTCGCATGGTTGATAGTGACAAGCCTTCTATAGGCTATATATATGATGCTATGGAGAAATGCAAAAGAGAGAGAGCCCAAAATTTCAATCATGAAGAAATTATTGATGAGATACATAGGCCATTGCATGCAGCTGGTTATTTTTTGAACCCACCTTTGTTTTATTTTGACAAGGACATACAAACAAATGACACAATTATGGATGGATTTAATGAGTGTGTAGAGGTGCTAATCCCTGAACTTGAAATGCAAGATATTAT